AACCGTTAATTATTCGTAAATGGAGTCAATTTGTGTAGTTTTCTTGATTTATTCTGTTATTTATATTGTTACTGGAGTCTAAAATGCACGGTTTTATGAATACAGTGATCCCATCGCTGCGTTGCGCCTCAGTAAGTCGCGATTTCAGCTAAGTCGCGGGTAGTTAGATGGCTTCAAAACATTCTATTGTGTATATTTAAATACCATAAGGTTTATTAAATAACCTGATTACCTGTTGTACGTTATGTGGGTCGTTGTGATCAAAGTATATATAAACATCAAAATACCATAAAATTAGATCGATATAAAGATATGTCAAGAAGTTGTTATCTATGATCCTCGGCAGTGTCAAGGCAATGGGAAGATGACCCGTATGTCGTTTAGCCTCGTACCATCTCCCTGGCAGTACTATTTGCCGATTCACATGTAAAACAGCAAAGGCAAGCGAGCACAGCGAAGTAAATTGATACTGTTATTAGAGAAGATTGTGTACACTTGTAACGATTGGTAAACGCCATGGAATTCACTGTGTATCTGTGTTTGATCTATTCAAGCTTGCCTATACTTGGTATTGGAAGCGACAAGTTACCGCTGGTACTTGTTACCTGGGAGTATCCGAATGCAACTCGTCTAGGTGAGTAATTCGATAAATCTGACTCCAACAAGCATAGGTTGTTTCGCTATGTGTGTTGAGGGGAACAGCACAGTGACTACCCTGCTTTATTGTACTTAGATTTCAAAAGTCTTCAAGTTGTTGTATTTGCAAGACCCACTAGTTATAACACACTTTTTAACAACGCCACACTAGACAATAAGATTTAATTTAAATTAAGATTTAAATATCCAGTGCTGAAATGATCGCGACATCTTCCATTTCTGGAGCACGATTTTGAAAGCGGAAATGAATCCTAAATATAGCTTAAAATGTATTAAAACGTCTTGTGTTATATGACATTCAGTTTAGCTTCTGTAAACTGTGAGAATAGATTGAGTTATTGAGAACCGCTTTCTCTCGAAGTTTAGATCTTCGTCGCCGTGGGTCGGTGATACTCATCGTTGTTGTTGATTCTCTCAAGGCTATAATTATACATGACGCAGATATAGAAACTACAGCTTTGGACATTGGACTGAGGCGGGAGATGTCATAAAACGTTATGTTGGAAATTGACCAACTTTTATTGCATCAAGTCTATATTGCTCTTTAGATGGACGATTTGATAACAAAATTAACGCCAGTACATTGGTGGCTTTGGTAGAGAATTGTCAGAACAATTTTGCTCAGTGCATCAGATGAGGAATCCCTATCGTTAATGGTGAGCACAATTTTGCAAGTCAATTAAATTGTGCTCAGAATGCTTGTCGTAAATGGCGGGTGTGCAATTCACGTCGTCAATAGTGAGCAATATGTCCCTAGTTTGAAGCAGATAAAGCTGGATTGAAGAGTCAGCCTGAGTTCATAACGTGCTAAGAGAGTGATTTGCGCCCTCAAGTGTCAAAATATGGCAAAAAGTGTCCCAGGCTCAAGAATATGAATCAATCGTTTCTTACATTGCAACAATTTGTACAATTCAAGACCGACGATGAGCATGTCAATGCTGTTATCAAAATATCACGATCAGTAAGTGAAATTGACAACGTTTACCACCACACAGCATATGAAACAATTCAAGACGGTGGCAGTGCAGTGGACTCCGTGGAGGTCGGGTGTAATTTCTGTGAAGACTATCCATCTGGCTGTCGATATAGCGTGGGATACGAAGGAACGTAAGTCTACAGCAGTTATCTAAAACTACATGTGATAGATGTTAGTGGTTTCGTCATAGTGCGTATGTGTCCCGATTTTAATTCATACATCACATTTTGCCACGTGAAACTAACTTTGCAGTATATCCACGAATTGACCTGCAAACCACAATTTCATTCGCCCCAATCATTACCGTGGGATTTTAATGCTTATTTCCACTTGTGCATTCATACACAGGGTTGATGAGGACGGTGAAGCCACTCTGGATGCCATGATAATGGACGGGTAAGTCATCGTTTATCTCAGGCCTCGCTCCTCGAACATTATACCTTAAAAATTCAAGACATATTAGAATATAAATACCAGTCCCACAATGCACAGTGTTATACAGACATTGCATGATTACTATACGTATTTCTTTTTAAGAATTACCCATGATGCCGGTGGCGTTGGCGGGTTACGTCGAGTAAAAAGAGCAATATCCGTTGCCAGGGACGTCATGGATCACACCAAACATTCCTTACTCGTTGGAGACCAAGGTAGAGGCGTATCTCGAGAATGCAACTTGATAAAGTGTATTAGTTTGGAAAGTAACAGTCCACGCTCTTGTACAGCACTGTCAGTGTGGCCGATATACAGATTTTAACAGGACAAATAGCACGATTGTTACCTCATTTGTTTTATACCCATTTTATTTACAATTTTTATAACTTTTTTTAGTTTTACACGGTACATTTTATAATAACCGTACTAAGGCGTAATGTATTTCTTCGCATACAGCTACGGACTTTGCAAGAGATTTTGGAGAATTCGCAGAAGAGGATTTTGACTCGGACGTTAATGAGTACGATTTAAATATACCTTAAATTTTCTTCGCTATGACACGGGATTTCTTTGACCGAGAAGTTACCCCGGAAATTAAAATTTCGAACGTGTTACATTTCCCATCGATTGGCTATAAAACATGTCAAATACATTTGTACCATATAGTTGGGGTTTGATGGGGTGTCCAGAGAGTAAAAAAGCAGTACTCCACCTGGAGAATTCAAGTGTCGGCTCAAATACAAAAAACCCACAGTGAAATCTACTACTCTTATCTGTCTGGAGGAAATCACTGCTTGTGCATAACATTCTCGGTAGTTGAATCGATGTGAAAACATGTGCCTATTTTTATTATTCACACCATATATATATTAAATTTTATATTGACAGGCAACTCCACGAAGAGTGGGAAGAAGCGGATTGTCAGCCAAACTTCTGGGAGGTAATTCTTGCGGTTTGATCAAAGTTTTAATTTATTCATTCATAATTGATTTATGCCGACCTGGTAACATTTAACTTCCATCACCATATAACAAGCCAACACTGCATCACATGGTCTCCATCATTTAAAAGTTTTTTTTTTTAGAACGTTACCCCTGATCCAACAACACAATGTGGACCCTATTCACCCATAGAAGAGAGTGTATCGTCTAAAACTGTGACTGGTCCTGACAATCATGATACTATAGGTGCGGTAAATGTCTACTCCATTGATAAATATACAACATATTACAAAATAATATTCAAAACCCTGACTCTTATAATCCTTATAAAGTTTACTTTAGTCTAGATAACAATCAAAGAAGTTCCAATCATATCACTTTCAGTTTAGAACAAGTGCATTTCAAGATTGTTGTCAATGTACTGGACCACAAGTAGAATTATGCGGTATTTGCTATCTGGCTGAATTTAACACATATCAAGTTATCCGTTTACAAAAACAAAGCAAAAAACATCACTAGAAACGGTGAGTTACTTATGTTGTTGTGAATTGCTTGCTGAATTCAACATTTTACTGCACATTGCAGGAATGGTGGTGATCGATGTTGACAGTAACGTGGCGGTTGGTACGTCAACAAATGGACTTGATCATAAAATACCGGGGTAGGTATTCTCTTAGTTAGATAATCTACGTACGTTAAATGCAAACATCACTGCCAGTGGATGTCTTGAATGACACTCGCATTGCTCACTCAAGCGCTATGAATGGTTCTTACTCAGTTCAGTTCAGTTCATTTAAAGGTCCATAGTTGTCACATCGCGTCCAGGTTGACGCGTGTAAAATACGAAATTCGCTGCACGGCGGCTGAGGTGCTTTAACGTCATTATCTCCATTTTTCTATATTTGACGAGCAATTATTTTTTCCCCCACATTGCTTCTATCTCATTGAGTACTCCAATCCCGTAACATAATACTAATTACTAATTAAATACTTTTGGCCTGCGTGTGATCTGTCGGTCAGGGGGACAACTACTAGTATAAACAAGTTATGTACACATTTCCAGAGGAGTTGCCCTTAGACAGATAATTTGATTATATTGTAGTAGAGTCGGTTGCCAAGAAAACGTCAGTTTCAGGAATTACTAAAAAATGTATGTATTCTCTTGAAACTTGAAGGAGGAGATACCCTTCACACAAAGACTATTCAATTGCTATTGAAACAATAATTTTGGGATGATTCTTTTCATAGATAACTCAGCAAATTCTAAATGAGTTTAATTTACTCAAAAAACTAGTTTGAAAGAGATTCAAATCTTCATGCTTTCGGAAACATGAATGTTTACGATGAGTATTTATTGTCGACAACTTAAAAAGTTAGTAAGGATAGGTACATAGCATCTGTGGTGTTTGCGTTGCGTTGTTACATTCCACCCTTAATGCAAATTCCACCCCATCCGGGATAATGACCCATCTCTTGATCTGCATAATTCATTAAGTTATAATTTGTATCTAGTATAACACACTGTGTAATTCCTGTTTTCTATTTGGCAGCCGTGTTGGAGACTCGCCCATCATTGGTTCCGGTGCATACGCTGATAACGAAGTTGGTGGCGCTGCAGCCACTGGCGATGGGGACATAATGATGAGATTTCTCCCCAGGTAAGATCTAACTTTTTATTGCTTTAAAGTGGAACTAATTAGTGTTTTGGCTAAAATAAATATCGGAAATGGCACAAAGGAACATGTAATATTATTATGGAATAAATGTGGGGCAGTAAAATTATGATTAGAAATGAGCATGATTAGAAAAGTTCTAATGGTTTTAAAGACGTTTTCACAGGAAACACTTAATACCAATTTTTATATTTGAGTTTTAATCTATCTCACTTATTTTTTTTTATTATCGTGCATTCAAATGTAAACTATGCCAAAATAGTCAAATTAATTTAATGATAAAAATCACAATAATTTTGCACAAAATGCTGATAGGCACTATATAACGCTAACACACGACGTAGAGGCAGTCATATTGAAAAATATTGAAAAATATAATTGTTTTATTATCGGTGATCTTTATTGTAGTTCAAGGCCTGTGGCCCAGAAATATAGATTGTATAAACAAAAGAAAAACATAAATACAAATATGCTGTGAAGTCACTCAATGTTTTTGTAAATCTCATATCTTAGTTTTAAGAAATGGTACAAATAAGCTGCCATGGATTGTAGTATGTTACTATCAAACGTCTTCATCAATTCCACAAACTTATTATATGAAGGCAATGTAAAATAGTATCTTGGAATGTATTGTTCCCTAATGACATTACAAAATGGACAAATTATTAGTAAATGGTATTCGTCTTCAATTTCAGAATTATTGCATAAAGGACAGACCCGGTCACTTCTTTCAATATCATTTTTCTTGTCGTTTCTATCCTGAGACAATGAGCAGAGCAACGAAAACAGATAACACACACTTGTGAGCGGGGACAGGCACGGAAAGAAAATAAATATCGTCGGGTTCAAGACGAATTTTGAAATTTCGATAGTTTTCTAGTTTGTCCATGGTTGAAATGTCACCATTCCAAATACAAACTATATTTAGAAGCGAATATCTTAATAAATAAATAAATCAATATTTGAGACTTCCTGTGCACCCCAAACCTCTTATCAAAAAAATAATAGTTGTTTAACATAAGTGACCCAGTTTGGTCTAGTTCTAGACTGAGAAATCTCTAAGTACAGGATAAAGTAACATTTACTGGGGTATTTTGATCTTGGCATGCGTAATAATTTGGCTCAATATTTGACGCATTTGGAGGGACACCTAAAATATTCTACAAGAAAGAGATTGTTGTCTTTCTATTGATTCATAACAATGGTGACCCCAAATTTCAGCCCCATATGTTAATATCGGCAGAATCATTGTATCAAATATTTTAAAGAAATGGTCATAAGATAGCGAGCCTAATTTCTCGTGTGTTTGATTAGACCCATCAACGACTTTTTACCTTGTTCCCCTATCCATAACCAAGCATCTCTATTAATACGAATATTGTGCCACTACCAAATGTATGTTGTACATAATCGTTGTAATAGCGTGACAACTGATATAATAGTTGTGGTACTTTAATTGTGTAAACACAGAATTGCTGTTTATTTGAAGATTGCATTCAATTAGTTTGAGTAAATAAAAAAAAAACAAGCAGACACAGTACGACGGCACAAAACTCGCACAAACCAAAATACATATTTTCCCCAATACTATTATAATATGTCTTCTTATGACAAAACACATTTTTGAAAAGACATACGCTGCGTGACGACACTTCAAGCATACTTTATAGACGGGATTCTCCAAAAACTTTGCTGAATCATGGTTTGAGTGTTTTAAAATTCGAAGAACAAACTTGGGGTGCTCGAACTGGCTTTTAAATTATGAACCTTGGTTGCGTTTTGTCATTTAATTAAAAAAAGTTTTCACTCATTAAAATATCTAAAATTGGTGGTGTTTTTTTTTTTAAATTTTACACTTTAAAGCAATGTCAGTCTGTTTATTTTGACATGCAGTTACCAAGCCGTTGAAAATATGCGTCATGGTATGACTCCATCTGAAGCATGTGACGAGGCCCTCAGTAGAATTGCTTATCGATATGAAGACTTTAGTGGCGCTGTAATCGCAGCCAATCTATTGGGCGAATATGGTTAGTAAAACACATTTGGGTATTACTTTGTTTGTTTAACTGATGCTTCAATGTACTCCAATGCGTAACACTAGAGACAGTCATTTTTTACTATACCGTATTATTGTCACTATAGGCGCTGCTTGCTATGGTTATAAACAAGTTGAAATAACGGTTATGAACCCGTCAATGGAAAAAGAAGAATTTATAGACATCGTCTGTGACGTAGTAGGCAAGCAGCCAGCAACGAGGGACTGTGAGGCATCCAATGCTGGCATAACATTGCCCAATGTTTTGTGTATTGTTACATTCATAGTAACTGCACTCATATTCAAAATAATATAGTTATAGAGATTTTGTGATCAACTAAAATTTACACGTTTATCTGAAAAATACTGCTCATATAAACTAAGCATTTACATAGGTAGCAATGATTTGCGTTTTTTTTATTATTTTTAAATTCTTTATTCCGAATTTGTTTATGAAAGTGATACTGAGCCAAAACAGAACGTAATAAATCATCTTGTTCGAACACAAATTCTTTTCTAGCTTGTTGCATTCCATTATCTTACATATACACCACTTGATATGACATATTACTGTGTGTGTTATAATAGGGTAAGGCTGACATCCATTAACCTTTTCACCACCAGTTCCCTCTTTTCATCACAAATTCACAAAATAGTCCCGTTTATAGTCTGCACTTTCCGTCAGAAGATTGGGAAAAAATAGCCAATTATTTTGAGTAAAAACTGAAAATTAACTCAAATTTTGTTTGTTGGCTCCAAAATTAGGATTCATTCCTAAGAATATTGAAGAATATAAGAAAAAAGTGCAGAAAATGTGGGTGAGATAGTCTAGTGGTGAAAAGCTAAAAATGTTTTTGTTGTGAGTTTCATTTCCGTACAACCAGACAGGGAGTTCATTGTCAACAAGTTTTTGTTGTGCGTTCACGGTCAACATTTTGTGAATTCATTTGAGTGTTAATATTCTAACGTTTCAGTTGTCATTGTTGATTTTGCAACCACGGTCCTGCTTTTTTTTTTGCTTCCATTATAAAACAGTTTCCATTTACTTTATGAGTGTTGACGCGTGTTCCACTGTTATGTCCCACCAGTTGATTCGAATACATACAAGGCATAATTTAGTTCAAGTTGAGAATTTATTTTGCGTGGTTATGCACTGTTTTCTCTATTAATAGTTTCAGTTGTCAGGGTATACTATTGGAGTGAATTTGCAAACACGGTGTTATTGTTTCGCTATCATTATAAATCAGTTAACTTTTAATTCCAATGTAACTATATAATCTACTGTAATTTATTTGTATATATATCTAAGCAATATATGGTATAACATTTATTGTCATGAGTACATTGTTTTGTGTTATTAGTATTAGTTAATTGCCCGAATAGTCTCAGTGCAACCATAGGAAGCTATTGTGTTTTTCTTGGATGTCTCTACCATGATAGGAAATGGAATATTAGAGTTAGAGGATGTCTTCTGAAAGATGTCGCGCTTGGTATTGGTATTAACAGACTGTATTATACAGGAATCGAGCCATTCAGAATTCTGTGTCATTACTGATTTGTTGTCTCTCTCTGACATCAGTACAATACCATGTGAACTCACATAGGCAGACTGGCCCGCCCACAGCCCACCCTTAAATGATTCACTAGTCAATATTATTCGTATTGTTTACAAAATCTGGCAATAAAAGACAACATCTAGTCTAGAAATATCTTGGTAGTTGGTAGGTATGTTTCGACCGATGCCTATTATTATGTTCGGATATCATGGTGTCGTGGAATGAAATACGACAACTTGAACAACATATTCTTATAGCGTCGTATACCACACAGGATATGTCTTGGTAGTTGGTAGGTGGGTTACGACGCCTATTAATGCGGTCGATTTTCACAAATGCCAATTATCAGTTCTGAATACAAAAGTTGAAATGACGTCAATTAGGTGCCAATCACTAGATGACATATTCGTGTTGGGAATGGGAGAGATGATTGAGGCACTTTTCTGGTGCAGTTATCCCAATCAAGAGACGAAAACGGTGGCCGAGTTTTGAATCTGCTCAAAACATTTTGTTGTTCATCTTCTTATTCTTACACTATCTTTTACTAGTAATTGATCACAGCTTCGAGTGAATAACTCAGTGGTCGATTTATTTCATTCTGTTTCTGGGGAAATAAATTCAATGACCCAATAAATCGAAGTAGTCATTCATTTTCACAATAACATGAAGTAGTCAAAACTCTGAGCAAAGTAAACATAGAGGAAACATTACTATGACGTAATGAACAATCATTGGAATCAATAGCTATGTAATTTTCTTACATAGCATGGAAATACATTGGAGTTTGGTCTCAGACTGGCATATTTGAACCTTATTGTCCACAGTTCCACTTAATCCTGAAGTAGTACGTGTGACATACGTGCTTCTACAGAGCTTGAAATACAGTATTCTTTTACCCTCGATATACTATGATATCTGTAACTGATAGGTCGAGATTCTCGGAAATCATTCGTTTTCACAGATTCTGAAATAAATGTCAGAATCGTTGTATTCATTACATTGCAGCAGCAAATGGGCTAAATGTTCTTGTTGACTACAGTGTGTTACTTACACCCATTATATCCTTTCATCTATCACGTTTCAAAAATACAGGACGCGACGCAAGATTTTATATTAAAAGTTACAGTCTAATTATTTCATTCATTGTTATTTTCTCTTAATTGCTAAACTTACTTTGTTCTAATTAATCTTATTTACATTACAGTAGGATCTTATATAGTAGGATGTCATTGGATAATTCAAATTTACTGTCTTTGAGTTCTAGTACTTGTTACATGTACATGTATTATAATTGCTGAAAACGTCAGCTGTTCTACATATCGCCCAAATATATTTTGTTTTTGGCCACGTTTACATTCTTTGGGCAGATTATTAACTAAATTCGAACTGAAGTTAGTTGGTTCTGGTTTGGGGATACAATTAAGTATAGAAGTGGGTCACACTGAAACGTGGAATTGAGGTAGGTGTAAAGATTAAAATAGTCTGGATGACCAGGTAAAATTATTATTGCATTTAGCGATTTTGCACACGAAGCTAATAGGATATAAAATTAGCATGATTAGTATTGAATCGAATTTCTTTCATGGAAATTGCATTTCAAACCGATATCTTCAAACATAGGGTTTTATATTTTGTGGACGGGTTCTATTTTAGCAATGTTTGGACCAGAATGCCAAATTATGCATGTGCGAATGATGCAATGAAATAGCACTAACCTAACTATTATAATGTCCAAAACAAAAAATACATATAATCATGGAATCTACCTCCATGATATAATCGAATGTATCAAACTTTATATTCTTTAAAATAAATACATGATATGCA